AAATAAATAAAAGATTTTTATATTAAAAAAAAAAACTTGTGAGGAGCAAAATACTCCCCTTCAAGTTATGCTTTTGAAGCCATTGTATATGTATGTATACATACACATACATATACACACAAACACACATACACACACACACATATATATACACACACACACACAAATATATGAATATAAATGATTATCTGGTCAAAATTGCTACAAGATTAATCATTTCAACATCATCCAAATCTTATTCTCATGATTTGTCATAAAAGGGTACCTATTGCAATAAGAGCCATTGAGATCAAAGACACGAGTTAGATCCCAAGGAGAGGACTAGGCCATGCTACACTGTCAATAGCTCAAAAAGAAAGACTAGATTGTTAACTCCATGAGGCTTGAGAGCAAACTTTTTGTTTGCTTGTTTTGCTTGTACCAATTTGTGAGGGGAAAACTGAAAATAAAGCTCACCTAATTAAATACTAAAAATAAAATAAAATAAAATAAAAGAGTTATTGCTGGCCGGGTGCGGTGGCTCACGCCTGTAATCCCAGACTTTGGGAGGCGAAGGTGAGTGGATCACGAGGTCAGGAGATCGAGATCATCCTGGCTAACACGGTGAAACCCCATCTCTACTAAAAAATAAAAAAAATAGCCGGGCGCGGTGGTAGGCGCCTGTAGTCCCAGCGACACGGGAGGCTGAGGCAGGAGAAGGGTGTGAACCCGGGAGGCGGAGCTTGCAGTGAGCTGAGATGGTGCCACTGCACTCCAGCCTGGGCCACAGAGCCAGATTCTGCCTCAAAAAAAAAAAAAAAAAAAAAAAATTAGCCAGGGATGGTAGTGCATGCCTGTACACCCAGCTACTTGAGGGGCTGAGGTTGACTTGAGCCAAGGAGGTTGAGGCTACAGTGAGCCAAAATCATGTCACTGTACTCCAGCCTGGGCAAGAGTAAGATCCTGTCTCAAAACAACAACAGTGACAAATAAATTTAAGAAGACCAAAATTATACACTGCAGTTTTTGACCAAAATTGCATGAAACTAGGAATTAAAAGCAAAATTGGCAAATCCAAAATTACATGAAAATAAAACACACTCTTCAACATATTCTTGCTCAAGGACCAAAGAATTTAACCTTTCCAAAGTTGTCAATACAAGCTACAGTGGTGAATTAATTCAATATAATATCTACATAAAATTCAATAGTACAATTTTTCACAGAAATATTCTTCACAATTTAAAAATTTGATTAAAAACTATAGCCAAGCCAGGCACAGTGGCTCATGTTTGTTATCCTAGCACTTTGGGAGGCCAAGGCGGGTGGATTGCCTGCTGAGCTCAGGAGTTTGAGACCAGCTTGGGTAACACGGTGAAACCCTGTCTCTACCAAAAATACAAAAAATTAGCTGGGCGTGGCAGTGTGTGCCTGCAATCCCAGCTACTTGGGAGGCTGAGGCAGGTGAATTGCTAGAACCCAGGAGGCAGATGTTTCAGTGAGCCACAATCGTGCCACTGCACTCCAGCCTGGGTGACAGAGCGAGATCTCTATCTCTAAAAAAAAAAAAAAAAAAAACTATAGCCAAGCAATTATGAAACAATAAAGAGGCATTATACTTTCTGATTTCAAAACATATTAAAAGCTACAATAACAATGTGGTACTGACACAAAGACAGATAAGTAGATGAAAGAACAGAATAAAGAACCCTAAAATGAACCCTTCTGTATATGATCAAACGATCTTCTACAAAGTTGTCATGTGCAAACAATAGAAAAAAAATACCTTCAAAAAATGATGTTGAAACGTGGATACCAACACTAATAAAATAAAGTTGGATGATTTCCTTGAAGTATATATAAAAACATTTTAAACAAAACACGTAAGACAGAAAAAAGGAACTAACAAATCTTTTAAAAAGAAATATGGAAAAAAGACACGACACCGGTCTTGGCACCATTTTCTTAGATACAACCTTAAATGCATGAACAACAAAGAACAGAAAAATTTAACTACACTATACCTCAAAATTTGTGTACATCAAAGAAAACATTCAATAGAGAGATAATGCCTCCTAGAAAATGAGTGAAAGTATTTGTAAATCACATGTGGTATTAATATTCATAATATATAAACAACTTTTAAAACTGACAATAAAGTTGAATAATCTGATTTGGAAATGTACAAATAACTGAACTAAATTTTTACCAAAAATATACACAAATGGGAAGAAGCATTTAAAAAGACACAAAATTACAATTTGTAGAGAAATGCATAAAAATCACAATGAAAAACAAAATCACCTCACACCCATTTCGAATGGCTACTATAAATTTTATAAAAACACAAAATCTGTTGATGATGCAATAAAAATAAAACCAGCCGGGCTCGGTGGCTCAAGCCTGTAATCCCAGCACTTTGGGAGGCCGAGACGGGCGGATCACGAGGTCAGGAGATTGAGACCATCCTGGCTA